TTGCATTACAATTTTTGCCCCTCCATAAGAGTGAACGTTTCTTCTTTATGATTCTGTTTTCTACCAAATTCCTCCTGGGGGCGATTCAGACTTCAAAGTTCGATAAGAGTTAAAAGAAACAAGGCATTTAATGAGCGAAGCCATTTATAGCGTTGATCAGGACTGAAATAGGCCAAAGAAACGTGCAATCAGCTAAACCAAGGCAAATCCATTCTCAAAATTCAAATTATGTCAACTCTGGGCTCCATTTCCATGTAACCGTCGACTGGTGCAATTACCCAATCAGGCTATCATTTGTGTCATATCAGCGCAGAACAGTTTCATCTCAAGCAAGTAATCACAGTTGTCAGCGGAAGCTTTTTTTTTGGGGGGGATCACCAAGAAAATCTGGTCCATCAGAGATGGTCAATTAACCAGAGCTTCGAGCAACTTTCACAAGCCAACAGAACCTCATTAAATCAGAAGTATTTTCATGTAAAGCTACAGACCCACGTAAAGTGGATTCATTGTCCTGCCTCTCTCAGATGAATAATCTGAGCTTGTTTTTTCTCTCTCTCTCGGCTTTGCCAGCCGGAGCTGTGTTTCACACCAGCATCAATGCCATTCCAAACAGCGAGTACAGTAATGCTAAAACTTCGTTTGATACAGGTGCCTTTCATGTCAGGAGGGAACCTCAAACCACTTCACAGGATACACTGTAAAGTATATGGTCACGGTGTGTTTTGTAGGCAAACTCAGCAGCCAATTTGCACACAATGCCTCACAAACAGCCTTTGAGTCAGCGACCGATTTTAGGTGGGGGATTGTTGGCCACGACACGGGGAGAAACTCCCTTCTCTTTCTACACAGTGCCATGGGATCTTTAACACCCAACAGAACAGACAGACTGGACCTCGGTTTAATGATCACCCGAAGGACGGCATCTCTAACAATGTAGTGCATCCCCAGCGCTGCATTGGAGTGTCGGCTTAGACCCACGTGAATTCAACGTCCCGACTGTTACCTTATCCCTCGCCAAGGGAAGGGCCCAAAATCCAGTCTCTCAATTACTACTTGGTTCAACAACAACTTGTATGCGAGTTTGTGGAAAAAAAAGGTTTGTGAAAAAGCCAGCTGTCAATGAACCAAAGCTGTTTGTATTTAAGCGAAAAGGGGCTACAACACGATGCACGTGTACCTTGGTTACAAATAGAGGTCTTCAAGCCAATAATACTCTGTTGTCCAGCTCTCTGATCTCAGTTTCATTTAGATGGGAGTGAATGATAAGTCCCTGGGTTTAATGGGGCAGCAGACTGACCAGATCAAATTACAGTGCAAGCCGTTTGGAAAGGACAAAAAAAAATCAATTTCTCTCTCAGGACACCACAATCAGAGCGAGGAGGAGAAAACTGTAACCCAAAGCATGGCAGATAAGTTAGTAAAACAATACTTGTAGCTGATAATAGCGCCTTATCTTGTCATCGAGTCATCTCAAAGCGCTTTACAGAATTTACTGTAAAAACTTCGAGTCCTTGACCACAAAAATGTATTGTATCGCAGCATGCGCCCAAGACACAATGAGAGTCGATTTAGTAAAACGTTTGATACTTATTACATCGAATTTACCGGCAATGTGGTGAGGTAACCCCCACCCCCCCCCCCCCAACACACACACACACAACATCTATTATTGGCATCCAGCGGCTGATTGCAGATCACAAAGCTACCGTTGGGCAATACAGTCTTTCCACTAGTTGCCCCTCTACCCACAGTGGTTCAAGAATCTACGAAGCACGGCTACCACTGTCACTAACTCCACTGGGAAATAGAGCGGCCTGAACATTACAGCGGAATCTACTGTCACAAACGGTAAAGAAACAGACCAGTAAGTCACTGGTAGAGCTTTCAGATTGTTAGCGATAAAGGAAGATCTTTATGGCACTTTCCAACGTATCCAAACCTTCTCAACACGCCTTGTCAGTTGTAGTGATTGCCTTTGTAGGTAAGCGCATTAGCCATTTTGAGTAAAGCAAAGCCCCACAACAGCAATGAGTGAATGAGCATTTTTAATCCAGGGGATTGTTGGCAATGATGGCATGAGAAGTTCCTTTTCTTTTTGAATAGTGCCCGACCTTTAACGTCCACCTGAACGGTTTAACATTTCATCCCAACTGCCCGACCTTTAACGTCCACCTGAACGGTTTAACATTTCATCCCAAGGATATAACAATACAGTGGAGCTCAAGTCCTGAAGTGGCGGAATCCAATACCGTGGACAATGAGATCAATTTAGTGGTACATTTGATATTTATTGCATCAAATGTGCTCACAATCACTGTCGAGGGAGCCCTGCTGCAACTGCAAGTGTGGGCATTGAGCGCGGATATGATGGCACTCGATGCTAAAATGTTGCTCTGCGGAAAAAATTATATTCCCGTGACCGTTACTTGTCACTCAGCGCCGTTCTCACTTCTGCCTGTAGCCGTTCACAAGGCAACCAAACCCCCCCCACCACCCCGCCTGTTATTCAATCAGTTTAGCATCACCTGAGGCAGATGATTCAAATTACATTATTTTCTGTTAGCAAGTGTCAAGGGAGCAGCCTTTAACCGCGACAACCTTATCAGGTGTCAGCCTGGCTGAGCTGCTAGTACTCTCGCCTCTTGAGTCAGAAGGTGTTGGGTTCAAGCCTTTGATCTCACAATCTAGGCTGACATACCGGTCGGTGCAGGGTTGGGGGAGCGCTAAATCTTTGGAGGTGCCATCTGCCTGTTCAGGTGGGTGCTCAAAGATTCCGCGGCACTATTCGAAAAGCGAAGGCAGTTTCTCACGGCGTGTCCCTGGACACAATCCTCCAGATAAACTTGGTCACTCACTTCAAGGCCGTCCGTGAGACATTGCCAGGTGCAGACTGGCTGCCGTGTTCAATTACAAAATACAGTTTATAACGAATTATAACAAGCATCCTCACTCTGTGAAAGGCACCGTATCAAACGGAAAAATGATTTATTCTGAAATTAGAAAAGGAATTGAAATGACGAGAGTTTTATCTGCTGTTGGACCTAAATTCAATAGAGGGAGGAGAGTTTGCCGTTTGCAGTTTGCCGTTTCCATTCTTGCGGACAAGAATTTCATATCAAATGTCAGCTGAAGAACACTCTCGCTCTCTCTGTGTAGAGCCTGTTAATTAACCCTGCCACTCGCGACACNAAAAACCCACGGTGAAAAAAACACTTTCTTCTCTCTCAATTACCTGCGTTTGCTTCATGTAGAAAAACAAATCTAGATTCCTTGAGAGATTTTGCAGGTTTGTGTTTTAAGGGGGGGGAGGAGACAGCTTCCAGTTATTCCCTTAATTTCATTTCATTATGGGCCTTGCAGCTGGGTTCCAATTTTGCAGAGAAATTCATCAGCAACTCTTTCCTTCACCCACCCTGCTTTTACTTTTCCAGTGCTTACTTGGGACGTCCTCCCGACGTGAAAGGCGCTATACAATCTTGTTGTTGTTACTGACAATCGCTCTGCTCTGCTGTCCTGAACGGGTAACAAGATCCCGGAGATTTCTCAGCGGAACATCGCAAACCAATTAACTCAGCGAGCAACCAGACTTATGTTAATGAATTATTAAGTTGGGTGCCGGGTGCTAACAGGAAAGGAAAGATGCTCAAGAAACGCGGCATCTGTGATTTATTTACGACTAACTCCGAGCTGACTCCTCTTAATCCCGCCGTAAACGGTAATGCGCACAAAAGGAAGGAAGGAATGCGTTTCCGTCAAGCTGCTGAGAACAGAAAGGGAGCGCACAGGCAGCGAGTGGGGCTGGCAACCCGCCAGGTGCTAATAGATGCTTTGTGCAGCGAAAACAGTTTAATTTAGCTAATAACATGGCAAAGGCATCGGGTGTCACAACTTCACTGCATTTGCATCCACGGCGCCCGACACTTCCACTGTCAAGACAAGAGGTGGAAATTAGGCCAGTCCGCCTCGCGCTACTCCACTTCCAGGAGCCAACGGCGCTTTTGGGGTTCACGCCAGTGATGGTAAGGCTCCGGGTTAAGCCCTCTGCTCTCACTCAGGCTTTCCTCAGTTACAAAGCTGGCGGCTCGCGGAACAGGCGGGGAGGCTGACACCCTTTGTACATCAGGAACCAAGAGAACATTTGCAATAATAATAATCCTGGCGTTTGATACAGCGCCTTATTGCATCTTCGAGACGTCTCAAAGCGCTTCGCAGAATATACTGTAAAGTGCAGTGTGTATTTTGTGGGCGAAATGCAGCAACAACAACAACAACAACAACTTGGATTTATATAGCATATAGCGCCCTCCACGCCAGACGGCAGCAGGCAATTTGCGCACAGCAGCGTCCCACAAACAGTCGTGGACTGAGTGACCAAAGCATGATGTTTATCTATTTATTTATTTATTTGATGCAGTGGGGAAGAAATTGGTGAGAAATGAAACCTTGAACTAAAGCTCTATTTATAATAAAAATTATAATAATCCTGGCATTTGATAGTCAGGAAGACATCTCAAAGTGCTTCACAGGAAATGTGTTGTCTACGTTCTCCCCTCTCATCTGACAGGCAAAAGTAGCCAAACACCAATTAACGTACACCTTGCCCAGGAATTGGCTTATATGAACAGGCTCTCTATGAATAAAATGACCTATTTTTACTACATTGATGGACTACGGGGTTTAAAAGGCAGACATTTCTGACCCAATTCCTCAATAAGGAAACTCCCCTCCCTCCCCCCGCCTCCTCCCGGTGTGTCAAGCCAATTCATTTGTTCCCGTGAGTCAGTGTGCCAGACTTCTAGATTCCTTATTACACACCTGCCCCCACCCCACCCCCTCCCTGTTACTGTGCAAATACGGTCTGAAGCTACGGATCGGAGGAACTCGGGAGACCACAGGCAGGTTTGACATGGCTTTTAACGCTCAAAAGCGACTGAATCCTTTATCCATAAATGTGACGACACAACAGTGAACAAGTGGTTCAAGCACAGACAGTCACTTACCGTCCTGGGATGTTGGGGAGGCGGGAGTGAAGTGCGCCATGGGTTTGTCTGGAAAGAAACGGGAGAAAAAAGGAACGTTACAATGTGCTCGAAACAGTCAAGAACCATCAACAGTCAGATCATGGCACAACAGCATCAATTTTACATCTACGCCCTTTACGTCAGGAGGACGTCTCAAAGCGCTTCACAGGCCGGTCGGGAGCCTGAGCTGGGGACGGGGGAGCTGAGGGACAACAGCAACAACAACAACTCACTGTTAAGGAAGGAAAGGAGAGAGGGGAGGAAAAGGTGACCCCAAAAGTGTGGTTGAAAAGAGCGTCAGGTTGTAACTGGTGGGGAGAGAGGAGGAGGAGCTCCAGAGAAAAGAGGCAGGAAAACAAACAATATCCTTTTATACCTTGGAATGTGGAAGGCAGAGTAGGAAGCACTTCATTGCCCCCCACCCCCCCACCCCCACCCACACCCCGTTTGTTTACTGCATTCACAGTACAGATGTTCCTCACCTCTGAGCATTTCTCTAAATTTCTCCTCTGCCACGTTCAGTGTTAAGAGGAGATTCTCGAGACATTAAAGGGGGCGAAAAGCATCGTTAAGAGCCGCCGTCCAGTTTCAGTGCAAGCAGAACCAAAAGGTAACAGCAACCTTCTTAACCTGAAGTGAGAGCGCTATAAACTGAGCCAGCATTTTATTTTTTTGAAAAAAAAATAAAAAAACACTACATCTGCCCTGCTCGATCTACCCTGAAGATACCAAGGTCTTCATGGTGATGAATGGTGACTGAGCTTAGGGTGACCCCAGGCCTCCTTTAACTCTATTCACCTTCAACTCCATTCACTATCAGCCTGCGCTCTGCTGGTAGCCCAATCACCCCAGGATTTGAGTTAGTTTCTTGGTCAAGACGCGACCTCCTTGTTTAAGAATAGTTTGCTGTGGCTCAGGATCAACGTGGCACAATTCACCTCTTAAGTCATTACACACTTAACATCCCCAAAGCACCACTACGTTAGTCTGAAATAGCACGAGCACCCTCTCAACTCCTCTCCTATCTATAATATTAAACCTTGCATTTGATATAGCACCTCATCACAGGGTCAAAACATCTCGAAACCTTTCCCAGGATTATACTGTACAGCTGCAGAGTATAGTACTTGTCGGTGAATTCTCTGCTTCTCTCTATAGTGTTTACTCCTTTGACAGATCTGAGATTTTTTTGCCTTTAAGTGTCATTAGCTTCGAGTTAAATTTGAAAGGATTGCCTCATGATTGTCATAAACATCCCGGTTAGAACGTTCTTAATAAACAGTAATTAAAGTTTGCAGCAACGTGGCATTTTATTGAAAGAGGAGCACATTAAACACGCTAATTAATTACAGCTTTAAGACCGTGCCAGGGCATCAGTGGATGAGGGCGCTGTACTTTGGGCAAGGAAGCAGGAATAGCACCCCGGGTTCCTGCTTCTAAATCCCCTATCCAGTGACCCCTGTGGACTGAATGTCAGGAGAGGAAAGGTTAGGCTTAGCCGTAATGCCTTGTTTGTTCAAACGGTTTGCCAATCTTCACTGTCTCATCTCCTCACATGAATAATAGCCATCTGGGCAAAATGCCGCGAGAGCTCGTGCCTGCTTTCCCGTAAAGGAGCCAACAACATCTGCGCAGAAAGGAACCAAGAGAACACTTGCAATTATAATCATCCTCGCATTTGATACAGTGCCTTATCACGTCGCTGAGACGTCTCAAAGTGCTGCACGGAATATACTGTAAAGTGAAGTGATATTTTTGGGGCGGAACGCGGCAGCCAATTGCGCACAGCAGTGTCCCACAAACAGTCATGGACCAAATTATTATTTTTTAAATTTATTTTAGTTAGTGGGGAAATATTGGTGAGAAACGAAACCTTGAATAAGGCTCCATTTGTAATACAAAATTATAATCCTTGCATTTAATAGTCAGGAAGACATCTCAAAGTGCTTCATAGGAAATACTGTAATATGTAGTGACTATTGTGTAGATGTACAGTGTTGTTCCACTAACAGCCATGAAGTGAATGACGAATTTATGGGTGGTGGTGGTGGGGGTGGGGGGGAGAAGAGTATTGGCGACGACACAAGGAGTGACCCCCCTTCTTGAATAGTTCTTAGAACATGGAGGAAAAAGAATTTTAAAAAAAGCAAACTATTAGGGCATAAAAAGGTGAAAGATCAGCCGAAAGATTGCCTTATATTCTGTTCAATGAGCCATTACCTCCCTAATGGAATATCATTAAAGCCCTGACTCTCATTTTGATTCACTAACTCTCGGGTCGAATGGATTTTATGTCAGAAATGCAGTAATTGTGGGATTTTCACACGCTTCAGATTTGGTCAAAAGCAGTAACAGAATTAAAAAACTTTCATTTTATTCCAGCTTCATCGCTTTTTGAATGGTACCAATGACTCTGTTTTACTGAAGGATTCTGCATTTGAGAAAACATTTGTAAAAATCTTTGCATTTTAATGCAGACCTTTTACATCAGGAGGACGTCTCAAAGCGCTTCACAGAATATACTGTAAAGTGAATTGACTGTATCATTTGTGGAAGAAAAACAGCAGCCAATTGTGCACAGCAGCGTCGCACAAACAGTCGCGGATTGAGTGACCAAATTATTTTTTTTTTGAAGGGGTCACTACCTGCATTTGAGAAAGACGATCTGCCAAACGACGAACAACATTTCGCCCGGCCTGGGAATCGAACCCAGATCCTCTCGCCTGCGAGGTGAGTGCTCCAAACCACTGAGCTGCAGGACTCCCAATAGAACGGAAAGATTGTCTGCTGGAAAATTTCCCAACATGACGGTCTACACTTGTGAAGACATTAATTAAAAATCGTTAATAAAGAAACGCGGCCGTTTGAAATAACGGAATCTACATATTAACTCTCCTCTTTGCTTTCATAATATTAAACATGGTGCTTTGAAGGCTCTATGCAAGGCATCTGCATAAAATATCAAACAGTCAGATGAGACCTTTGAAGTAGCTTTCAAATGTCTCTCGCTGGCACAAATTCAGATTATAGGTAACATCCAAAACTGATTAAAGAGCGCCGGGTAAATTGGACTTGCTCTCCTCGTCCCCACTTCCCTCTCCTTTTCCCTTCTCCCTCTGCACTGCCCTCAAGCCGCACCTTATATTCCTGGCTACAAATGACATGAAGCCAACTTGCTTCCTTGCTTTGGCATCAACCACTTCACGCAACGGCCTGGTGGGGGGCAGAGGGGGGGGGGGGGGGGCGCAGGAGAACAAACTCGATCCATACAAAAGGCAAAATACAGCAGATGCTGGAAATCTGAAATAATAACAGAAGCGACTGAGAACACGCAGCAGGTCGGGCAGCGTCTATGGAGAGAGAAATCTGATGGAAGGTCATCGACCTGAATCGTTAACTCACTTTCCTCTCTCTCCATAGATGCTGCCTGACCTGCTGCATGTTCCTAGCGAATTCTGTTTTTATTTCTGGATCTATACAAGTCTGTCTCTCTCTCTCTCTCTCTCCCTCCCCACCCCACACCCTCCTTTACAACAACAGCAGCAACAACAACGTGCACTTGTATAGTGCCCTCCAGGCAGGGTAGCGTTTCAAGCTCGTTAGAGAAGTGCCACACCGCTCAGGCACACCGTTGCACTGCCCAGGTTAGTTCAAACACTGGACTGCGAGAGGTTCCATCTGCCTGTTCAGGTGGACATTAAAGACCCCACGACATTATTCAAAAAAAAAGAGAGAGACGGCCGTTTCTCCCGGTGGCCTGGCCAGCGCTCCAGAGAAATTGATCGTCCGTCTCATGGTTGTTCGTGGGACTTGGCCGCGTGCAAAATGCCCGCCTTGTTTGCCTGGAATCAATCGCCACGAGGCATTTCTTGCGAACGTTTGACAAATTTGAAAAAAAAAATCCTTTGGTCTTCCTTCCACTGAAAATGGCAACGCTTTGGGAAATGGTTTCTCCAAAAGGGAATGGGTTCAGCGCCGGGATTCCGCAGGAGGCCGAAAGAAAAGCTAATCCAAGGAAACGAGCGACACATTCACCTGAGCTGTCCAACGTTGCTATGGATGAGACGCGATGCTCTATTAAGTCCACAAATTGCTTTAGCCTCAAGACTATTGTCTTAAAACGTGCAAAATTTCGGATTATTCTTCAATCGAAGTGAAGGTTCTTTTTGGGAAGCCCTAACGGGTCGGGTGGACCAGGGCTGGGCAAGTTATGGGAAGCTTGCCAGACAGAGCTGTGTGTTTTTTTAGCTGGTTAAACTCCAGCAGTTAACCCCCACCCCCCCACACACACACACACACTCCAGCCTTGACTCTTGTCAACCTGTGCCTAATACTCTCAGAATCAGGTAAGTGGGGAGCATCCCCCCGGGGGAAGAGAGAGAGAGAGAGAGAGAGAGAGAGAGAAAGAGAGAGAGTGGATTCCATGCGAGACACAGGTAGATTTCCATGTGTAGGCGCCGCACATATGTGAAACCTGCTGTCTGAATTGGGATACTCGTGAGCACTGTGACTGGGTGTCCACGTGTGTCATGACACTCGGGACGACCTAAAAGAAATTGTATGAGTGATAACCTTGGAAAATCGGTTCTCAAATTAGAACTGAATTCAAGAATTTGCCAAAAAAACAATCTTTAAAGTCTAAAGCATCACTGTTCAAACTAAGCACATAAGTGGAGCCCTGTAGCCTTGCAAGCAAGAGGACCCGGGTTTGATTACCGGGCAGAGCGAAGCATTAAGCAAGTTTCCTCACTCCACACAACTTTGTTTACCGAGCAGTAAGTAGTCAATTGGCAGATCGCTTTTCTGGAGGTAATAATCCCTTCAACAACGAAATTAAAATAATAATTTGGTCACTCAACCCACGGCTGTTTGTGGGGACGCTGCTGTGCGCAATTGGCTGCCGCGTTTCCCCCACAAATATACAGTCAATTCACTTTACAGTGCATCCTGTGAAGCGCTTTGAGCCGTCTCGAAGACGTGATGAGGCGCTATGTCAAATGCAAGGATTATTATCATTATAATAAAAA